GGAAAAAATGTAATACCCAAGGGAACGTGATGCAGAATGCTTTCAGGAACACTCATATGTTTCCTTTCACTGTATTTCTGTCTCACTGGGGATTTCTAGATGTCAGTGTTGAGAAAGAAGCAGCTATCAAAATAAATCTCACTTTGAACACAGAAAACTTCAAGGAAAGTTCTTCTCCCGAGTCAGTTTACTTCTTCCATGAGCACCTCTAACCATTATGGCTAGCTGCAGATATTACACTTATTGCGAGATAAGTATACAGAAAATGCTCCTAGGCATGTGTAAAGCAGCTAGTATTCACTTTAGATGCAAGCAATTTGGGGGACAGTGATTCAATTTGGTGATTTGAATCACTGTCTCAAATCAATTTGGCTGAATCTGATTCAGAGATTCAGCTGCCGCTGAATCGGCAGTATCTCCAAATCAAACAGGCCCCATCCCCTGCCTGCTTTCCCAGCCCCATCAATGACTGCCCTGACCAGCCCCAGTGTTCTGGCATTTTTTTTTCTTTCAAAGCCCCACACTTACTGGCTCCTGCCAGGCATGGGGGAGATCCCCACTGCCCCCCACTGCCTTGCCCTGCACTGCATGGGGGATGTGGCTTTGCCACAAGCCCCCAGAGGCCCTGACAGCCACAGCAGTAGCTGGTGAGTGCGTGGCTTTTTTTTTTTTTAAGTACCTGGATGCTGGGGCAGGACTGGGCAGCCATTGACAGGGCTGGGAGAACAGGCAGGGGTTGTGGGGTGCTCAGGGGGGCTGGGGGAGCAGGCAGGAGATGACCCCCCATGGTCCCCTCCCCTCTCCGCCAGCCCCCCCACCCCCTAGTTACTGGCACGAAGCCCAGGTCCAGCTCCCTGCGGCAGTGAGTGGAAACTGCTGAAATCTCCATGTCTACTCCAAATCTTCTCTGAATCAGTTCAGAGGTTTCAAATCATTTTGGACCTTTTAATTGGTTTCCCAATTCATCTTCCAAATCAAATCAGCAACCAAAGCTTCGCACAGCCCTATCTACAACCATAATCAAACAGATGTTCACAGCACTCAGAGTACGGTATAAATGGTAGATCCCATTCTAAATTAACCCTGGATGGATGTAGTATCAGACTAAAGCACTGTAGGTTAGAGCACTTTATTGAACATCTGTGCACCCCATTCACCCCCACACCCCCAGGGCACTACTCTATCCTTGGCCAGAGTTCATCTGTTCTGCTGAGTTCTAGTGCATGTGAAAGCTCTGGAACCACTGTCCATCATCCCAGGCCAATCTGCTCCCACCAGTTTCTGCTGGCATTCCAATCCCAGAACCAGCACTCTGTGGTCTGGGGGTGATGCCAGAGCATCCCAGTATCCATGGGACCCTGGATGGCCTCATTCTTGTCAGCCACATGAAAGCTGGTGGCCAAGTCCAAGACACCTGGAGGGTACAAAATGGGGTGGGTGACTCTGTGTGGTATCACCAGCTAGTGGCTTATAGCCAGAAGCCAGCATGCCTTGGTGAGCTGCTGCCACATCAGGTCCAGATGGGCACATGTGATCCCTCCAGTGAGAGTCAAACAAGGCAATCTGCAGGACCAGCTACATCTCCTGGTCTCTCTGTTTGTGCACCAGTGGCAGGATACCATGGTGAGATGCAGGCAGGCTGGGACACTGATGCACATGCAAATCATGATGGCAGGTGCTCACTCATGCATGCCCTGGGGCTCTCCTGGAAGCCCAAGCCAGAGCTCAGCACAAGACAGATTCTGTAATGACATGCCAGGGAGTTGGGGGTATGGTTGCCTGTCCCCAGCAGCCAATTAGGTGGCTCACAAAAGTTCAGTGTTCTCTGCTAGGGAGCCCACAGGTTATGCAGGGAAGTGTGGGAGAGTGCCCCCTACCTGCTGGCCTCAGGAAGTGCAAGCATGCTCCAAGCCCCACTTACTGAAGGGCTAACATCTATTATGTTCATGTCTGATGTAACATCAAGCACTTTTAGTACAGTGTGATAGATAGAGCACTTCTGCCTTGGTCTTCTTGAACACCTGTACTTAGCTTATAGGTATAAATTAATGACATTTGCCATTTTATCCCATAGAGTCAACACAAAAGTTCAGTGTTCCCTGCTCTCTAATTCATTGAACTGTTTTGCCTTGTATTTCTGTTCCTGCTTAAGGCTTAAGTTTTGTATTTGTTGTTAGTGTCTGATTCTCAGCACCATTGAACTGTGGGGTTAAGGCAGTAATAAAAGATCCCTGAACAGAAGAGTGGCTTATTGCACTCTGAAGTGAGTCCTGTACTGTGGAAATGATTTGCATGATGCTCAAACAAGGTATGGGTGCCAAAAGAGGATTTATGTTTTTCAGGAAAATTCAATGTATTTTACATAGACATCCTTTATTCATCTTACAACAAAACTATAGTAGAAGGCAGACTGGAGTGATCATATTTTAGAGCTAGATAAAGAAACACAAAATTATGTAGAGGAGTAGACTGAAATATTTTCTTTTTTAATACATTACCATAACTTTGATCCTTTAAAGAATAATAATTATACCTGCACTAAAGATGTTACCATTTATATTAGGAAAACTAAATCTGGCATTTAAAAGTAAAGATTATAAAGAAAAATTATTGTAAATTACAGTGAAGTGGATGATGTGGGAGTTGAAGAAAGAAAGATGAAAGTGTAGATTTAGTGTTTAGTTAGTACACTAAATCCTAATTTCAATGTATTGCCTAAATGGCATGTGCAGACCTGTATAACTGCACTTCTTGGCACTTAGTAAATCCACGTTGTGCACATTAGGTTGCTGAACATACTCAGTATGGATATGCTCCAGCCAGACAGCCACCCAGGGAAACAGAATCATCCAGGTAAGCACATAAGCCCCAGCACTGTAGTAATTAAAATCCCCAACATTCATAGTTGATAGGGTCAGAAGGAACCTGAGCAGATCATCAAGTCTGACCCCCTGCCATGGGCAGGAAAGAATGCTGGGGTCAAACAACCCCATCTAGGTGATTATCTAGCCTGCTTTTGAAGACCCCCAAGATAGAAGCAAGCACCACTTCCCTTGGAAGTCGGTTCCAGATCCTAGCCACCCTGACTGTGAAGCAGTGCCTCCTGATGTCTAGCCTGAACCTACTCTCAGTCAACTTGTGGCCATTATTCTTAGTTACCCCTGGTAGTGCTCAGGGGAACAGGGGCTCTCTCTCGTTCCCCACTGGTCTCCCCTGGTAAGTTTATAGATTTTGTGACCTGATCATAAAAGGCAAGCAGGTTGGTCTGACAAGACCTGCCCCTGATGAGCTCATGTTGGTTGTCCCTGAGCATAATCTCCCCTGCTGGTCCCATACAGATGTGCTCCTGGATAATTTTCTCAAATAGCTTCCCCAGAACTAAGGTAAGACTAATAGGCCTATAGTTTCCTGGGTCCTCCTTCTGAAAATGGGGACCATATTGGCCCTTTTCCAGTCCTCTGGCAACTAGCCAGAGCACCATGAGTGCTCATAAAGCCATGCCAGGGGTCCCACAATGACCTCCATCAATTCCCTCAGCACCCTGGGGTGGAGATCATCTGGATCTGCTGATTTGAACAGTATGTCCAGCCCCACCAGAAGTTCTCTAATTAGGTCCTCCCTGACTCTAGGCCTAACCTTGCCTCTCCTGAGTGCATCCAGAATCCCAGTGGTGGGGATGTCCCGGTCTCTGCTCAGAAAAACGGGGACAAATAATTTGTTACAGAGGTTAGCTTTATCATCTGGTGCAACTACCAGATTGCCAAGAGTGTCCTGCAGGGGCCCCACATTACCTAGTGCTTTCTTTTTACTCCCTATGTATTTAAAAAAGGACTTCTTGTTATCTTTGATCCGGGTCGCTAGTCCTAGTTCTGTCTCTACCTTACAACCCCCCTACAGTTTCAAGCAACAGAAATATAATCCTCCTTGGTGATAGCCCCTCCCTTCCAGTGGATGTATGCCTCCTTTTTAGCTTTCAGACATTCCTGAATGCCTTTGGTGAACCATGGGGGTTTCTGAGCACTCTTGCCTGCTTTGATTCATGTTGGAACCGTCATCCTTTGGGCTTGGAGGATCATTTCCTTAAGAAACAACCACTCGTCTTGGACTCCCAACTCCCCTACCCTCTGGGACCTCAGTGCCTCTCTGACTAATCTCTTTAACTCATTGAAATTGGCCCTCCTGAAGTCAAGGGATTTAGATCAAGGAAGAAGGCCATCTTACTTTTTAGTTCAATAGCCAAGTATCTAGGGTACCTATATAGGGAAGAGAGGGCTCAGGTTCTTGTTTCCCCTATCACCCAGAAAAAATTTGAATCTCTTGTATTTTCTCATATATAACACCTCCCCAAATATAATGAATGCCTTGTTTTTAAAAGGCATTATGAACATTTTTTTCCAGAGTTATGGCTGCAGAGAGGACAGAGCCTAATCTTCAGATGACTCACCCTCCCTTTCCTGCTTAACTAAAACTCAGCTTCTGCTGAAGACTGGTCACCATGAGTGGACCTCTGATTTTGCTTGGAAACTGTTGATCCTTCCAGATCATGGTGTATTCATGAGAGGTCACCCAGACCTTTTATGCATATGCCTAGGCATGGTTTTTGAAGAAGTAGAGGCTACCCAAACCTTTAGATCACTGAGACAGAATCCAAAGGCCAGACTCAGCCCAGACATTTAGTACCTCCATGGCTGTATTTATATAAACATCCAGGAATTGAACCCAGGTCTTTTGTGTAGCAGACAAAGAGTCTACCACTGAACCACAGAAAACTCTACCTCTGATTTGGGAAAGAACTAAAAAGCTATGAAATAGAAAAAGACCAGAAGCCCTAGCAGACAGCAAAACCCCTCAAAGGACCTTGTTATATAGTAAATGTAGGTGGATTCTGTAGCTCTGACCCCTGGATTGGCTGCATATTTACAACTTTAAGTGGCTTAAGGAACTCATTATTCAGCTTAAACTTATGACACTCCAGGGCAGGATTATCTCTAACCACCGAGTTTTGCTCCTGTTCCATTAAAGTGTGCTCACTTCCTACAGCTATTCTGCCCAAATTGAAGTCTTCCAACATCCCAGGGTGCAGTGGCCCCTCCTGAGTCCAGATGAGCGGCGACTGCGGGGTGTAGCAGGGCTGGGTTGCTGCACAGAGTAAACGCTGTAGCCCCGGAGCACTCAGTGGCTGTGATTCTTCCCACCTCACTGCTCCTGCTATTGGTGACATGGGGGCAGGAGGGGGCAGTGAGGGAGGGAGGAAGGTGAAGTCCCGAGGAAAAAAAGAGATCAGGCCCCTTGAAGCTCAAGCAGTGAGCCAGTCCAGGTGGAAGCGGAAGGCACCGCAGCTGCTGGGTCCTTCAAGGCTATGGAGCTCACTCTGCTCAGCTGGAGCAACAAGCCCCTGGCTTCTATTCCTGTCTCTGCTCACCAAGCCTCTAGTGGCAAGCCACAGCTGTGCAGGTAAAGGACAGTCAGAGATGTTTTTTTTACCTTAAGCTGCGACTGCTCCACTAAACAAAACAACACTAAGCTGATTAACATTTGCTCAGCTTACAGCATAAAATGTAACAAGGCCCTAAGAAAGGTTAGCTTCATTAGTGGAATGTCAAGACCATTAAAAAGGAAGGATGATCTTTAACACTTATGAAGTAAAGATGGCCATTAATGGGCCACTGACTTCCTTAGCTGCCTGAAGGGTAATACCAGAGCTGCAGAGCTGTGCAGCAGGGAATGGAAGAAGGTGCTTCTTTCTCTGGTAAAAAAATCAGCTTTCTTCCTCAATACACTATCCAAGTGGAGAGAGTTTGATTTTTGGGGGGAAGGAGGGAGAGGTGCATGCTGTACATGCCTCCTAGTAAAGTATTTTCACCACTGGGCTGTGGGACAGATGTCACCCAAACCCTTCTCCAGAAGCTAAGTCCCCCTCCAGGATTTAGACCTGTTTCCTATAGGCACAAAATGACATCACTCATACAGGGAAATACCTGACTTCCAGGGAGAAATTTAAATCAGATGAATTAAAAAAACAACCCACAAAATCGAAGATGTAATTCTAAATGTATGTCAAGGTTATTTATCAGCTGACAGGAATATTCCTGCTCTCAAGCTCTTATGGCTCTGGTATGACCTTCCCCTTCTCCATTTCTAAGGCTGAGTATTATGACAGGTAGTAAGATTAATGATAAAGAACAAAGGTCCTGTTGTTATTTAAGAGATAACTATATCATAACAAACGGTGTATAAAACAATACATGTCTCTGGCAGCACTGTTAAGCAGCAAGTCTGTGGCCCATAGCAGTCATGTGCTACTGAAGGCATTTGTAAGGCATACACACTTCACTCTGACACATCTATGATAGTACTATGACACTGAGGGTGTAACATTTCATTCTCTTCCAACCAGTGCTATTACACTTATTCAGTGCAGGTCAATAGTGGACAAATGTGGTGATTGTTGTGTAAAAGAAGTTAACAAGGGGGCAGCCAGCCTGCAGCTAGAATAGCCACCTGTCAGATTTTTCACAGAACATCAGGTTATTGAATGTTATATTTGGTGTCAGGTCATAGATGGGTAATTTTATTTGGTCTTGTTTGATTTTTGTCATTAGAGCCAAGTATAAATTATGCAATGTGATGTTTTCCCTATTAAAATGGATAGACAGTATTTTTGCACCTTGCAATGTTTGATGTATGCTACTGATATTAAAATTATCAGTCGACTGGCTTTACGGGAATAATGTACCAGTCTCCTACTGATTTCAAATTTCCTTGCTAATTATTTGTACTGTCAATAAAGCAGCCCACCAACTACCTGTCAACCAGTGACCAAACGTAACACACAATAAGTTGTTTCCCTTTATACATTACAGAATGGCTTGACACTGTTAACCCAGTTCTCATGTTCCTTGGCAAAAAAACCTTGCTCAGTTTTGTTTCTTTAAAAGAAAAGTAATAAATATTATATTATAATCTCTTTGCCTTGCATTTGTCTTTTCCACATTAATTTTCTTTGGTAATTTCATATTTACCACATGTGGTTCATTTAAAAATGAAAACATTCATCTTAAGTGTAAGGCACTTCTAAGTGGGTCTTGTACTTAGTAACAATTTGTGTTGAGGCAGAAATGTTGGCACTGCGCTGTTGGCCTTTGGCTTTCTATTACAAGTGTAGTACACACTAATGACTTAGTAAGTGTTTGTCCCCTTCAGAGATGAATTTGAGCAGAAATTCCATTTAAAATGTGTACAAGGGCACAGAAAGCTGTTTGGAAAGTGAAGTTGGTGAGAAATAAGCTTGTCAGTTGCTCTCATGGTAAGCTTCTTGAACAGTTTTCCCTTATTACTGACATATATGCTGCCTTTGTGCATTTTGTTCATAAATGCCAGTAATCTATCCAGTGGGAGCTCAAGGGTGAAGAAATGCTGAAAGGTGGATTCTTGTCAATGAGTAGAAACAGACTAGTTCAGTGTAATATGAACATCAATCTACACTCCCAAGGAATTGTATCAGGGAATTCTAAGAGATACTGTCCTTTGTCAAAATGCATTTTCCCTTTCCTCTTTTTTTTTTCCTTTTTGCCGTTATCCTTATTCAGTCTCTATCTGAAAATAATAATTTTGCAACATCTCAGAACATGGGGATGGAATAAAATGACTTGAAGACCTCTGTAGCCCCCATCTTTATGACTGCTATCAAGCATCAACATTACAGTAAGTTCTCAGCTTTACCCAAAAAGTGCTTGGCACAGATGAAGGAAGCATAGGATGCAAAGGCATTTATACAAGGATAGTACTCTGGTGCAATTTGCTCTAATGTTCTCAATGGGCTGCTTTGGCACATGGGGAAAAGTGGAGAACTGGGAGTTGTGGCCATGCCTCCTCTCTTCCAAAGAATATAAATTACATAAGTTTAATAACATGATGATTATATTCTGTGAAGTCATCTTGTGCTGGTGTCCCAAACCCCCTTTCAACCCCATTTATTACACTACTGTTGAAGGTTATTACTGTTTAATAACATGATTATATTCTGGTGCCTAATCATAAAATATACCATTATTGGTAAAGCAAACCGGGAAATCATACAAAACAGCAGACCATCACCCACTTGCTATGTAATATGATACAACTTTCCTAATGCTTTTCTTTCATATGATGCTGCTGTTTCTTTTTAATATATTTTATAAAGTAAAGGGGATAAGGTGACTGTTATTTTTAGTAACCACCTCTATATTCTTATTTCACTAATGAGTTACTGGCTTTTTGCCAAAGCAGATTGACATGGTTGCAGCAAGCTGCGGAGCATAAAGATTCCAGTTTTACTGCAAAGTGTGTGTGTGAGAGAGAGAGAGAGACTGCGTGCGCATGGGTACAAGAGTTTGTCTGTTGTTTTATTTAATAGGAAAGAACACAACCATACAAGACCTGCAGAATAAAAAATAATACTAAGAAAAAAAGGAAGTATTTAGTCTGGAAATACCAATTCTGGAGCTAGCCTCAGTGGGGATTTATAGCCTCAAGTTAACATTCCAGTTCCTCAGCAGGCATGCAATACATAGCTTTTATAATCTACCAGTTCAATCTCTTGCATAAAGCCGCACTTTGTTTTTATAGCAAAGGCTTTCATAGATTCATAGAAAGTTAGGGTTGGAAGGGACCTCAGGAGGTCGTCTAGTCCAACCTCTGCTCAAAGTTCTCTCCCCTCATTTTTTTAAACCGATTCCAAGATAATAACAGATCAGTAATATAAATGCTAGAAATAGATAGCAAGGTCCAAGGCTACAGGCTAGAATCAGGTCTGGTGCAAATGGGAGCAACTATTTTGAAGATGGATAGACTGAGGAAAATGAGATGTAACACCTGTGCCAAGACTAAATTTGGCCCTATATTTTTTTAAACAAAGAGCCATCTATACCATGTTTGAGGACTTGATACTATGAGATCTGATTACTTCCTGCTAAGCGTTTGACTCCTAGTGATTTCAAAAGCAGCAGAGAGATTTTGTAACAGAAAGGACATGCCAGGTCTATTAAATCCAAGCAAGAAAGAGGGGATTTCTGAGTAAAGCCAAAAGTTGAGTTCCACATAATATTCAAGGTTCAAATGAAATCTCTGTAACTTTGAAGGATAAGCAGAGCTTCTAAGTTAACTTTGCAAGGCCAGCTAACATTTTGAAGCCGATAGAGGGTAATATTTCATAAACACTCAGCAGTTGTGATTTGTCATGAAGGTGAAATACAGAAATTAACATCCAGCTCAGTATGACTGTGTTCAGACTTCTGGTAACATCTTCATGTAGTAATGCTGAGTCTTAATATGAACTTTAATGTAGTCACTATATAACAGAAGTGGGAATTTAAGAGACTGGGAGTTTGTGGGATAGGTGAGAATTTATTTGGGGGCTTGAAGAACAGAGGCATAACTGGATGCTTGAGTGGGGCAGTGTCAGTGGCTGCACTGCTGCCAGCAGCAGCAATGGCCAGGCCAAGAGCACAGCTACTGCTATTTTTGCAGGCTCCCCATCATGGTCAGCACTTAGGGCTGGTGTCCCAAGCCTGCTTTCCCCACCATTTGGTACACTACTGTTGAAGGGAGTATGTGAAATACTTTGGCACAGGAAACTGATATAACACCATTGAAATCAATGGTACACATAAAAGCAATTCAGGACCAACTCTGCAAAAACCACTTGGGTGTCCAAACTGATTAGGTGTCTCCATCTAGGCACCTCAAGTTAGGCTTGTGAGAATGTCAGAAATAGTCCAGTTTGAACACCTAAACCATCTAAGCTCCATTGAAATATACATTTGAGCTGTGGCATTGCTTAAATTTTCTGGAGAAGCACTGTTTGTCACAAGCCATGGAGCATGCCAAAACACAGACAGCTCTCAGTTCAGGACAGGGCACTTTTGCCCACGATCACTGTCACTCAAGAACACAAGGCATGATAGCCTAGCGGTTATTGTGTGCACCCTGGAAGCTGAAGACATGGATTCTAGGCCCTTCTCAGTCAGAAGGGATAATAAACATACATTTGAATCATGTGTCTGCTTAGTTTCCAGAGGCACTGCCCTATACTTGGGTGGGAGACTCCTTC